GGTGGGAAGGGTGTCAAGGTGACTGGTGTTTCCAAGTGACAACTCTTTTTCTGAATCTTTTGCTGTGCGGGGCATCAGTAGGCTTGTCTGTTTGAGTGCATGGACAGATCATGGTTTATTGGGAATTTCTAAAGATGCAGCTAATCTGTGAAGGTGAGTAGAAAACTTTGTTCAAATTTTTTCAGTCAAATGTATGCATTTGTGTTTCTGGGATGCTGTTTATGTTTCATACTGACCATAGGCAAGCTGTCGTCTTCCATCACATTGTTTTTTGTCTGCTAATATTTTGTATCTGTAGGATAAATTTGTAATTTGGTCGTACTCTTATACTCCTCTATTAATAAGAATCTTTCGATTGCTGATAAAAGAAACCTGGGAGGCCTTTGTTTGGCCAATGAAAAGGGAGTAGCTAATCCCACCTTAAACTAACCAAGCCCTCTTAGGTTTTGTTTGATCTAATGGAATGACTAAACTATCCACGATTTTTGTGCTGAAGTACATAGAGGATAAATAGGGATGCCTGCTTGTTTGTGTTCAACTATTTTCTGTTGACAAAGTGAAAATAAGGTTAATATTTTCATGTCACTAATGTTATATTGACATACTTATCTCCTGATTGCGGTGGGGTAAGATTGTTGGAATAACTGTTATTGCAATGTTTGTTAAGATTGTGGTGTGGTAAGATTGTTGGAATAAGGTAATATTTTCATGTCACTAATCCTATATTGACATACTTACCTCCATTGTGGTCAGTCACCATTTGCTAGTGAAGTATGGAAACATTCTTACGCGGTCTTACTTCCCTTCATTCACACTGTTTTGATGCTACTAGGAAAGATTCTAGTTGGGTTGGTACACACCGTGTAATACCTTGGTAGAACCACTGCAATGGTATTGGCTAACTTTTGATCTATCTAATCATATACAACTTTAGGATATAAAACTTTTGCGAAAAGGTAAAATTGGGATGTCCTGGTATTAAGAATATTGGGACATTCAACGATGGTTACATGATCATGATGCAGTGATAAAGTTGGGACCCAAATTCTGCTCCACATATTTAATTGATTTTCCCATTTCGCAAAACTTCTAAGTACTGGCTCATTACTAGCTAGGCCATGTATGGTTAGTTATTTTGAACATATCCAATGGTTAATATTTGTTGTACATAATTCAAACACTGTTAACAGTTGAATATTGTCCATTGAAACAGCTAAATCAAATAGGTTCGTCTAAACTTCAGCTTGTAGGCATAGGAACTCAAGTTCGTAGGGCATTATTAGCCTTTGCAATTATTAAGCAGCTAACGCACGCTTAAATATGATGAAAGAGCAGTGCTAGGGGCACTCGCCTCCTACACTCTCTGGCCTACACTTCAACTTTCATTGGGCCACGTAAGCTTCTCCGAGTTTTTGAAACGCGACCTCTTTGATCTAAATAACGTGGCCCAATAAAAATGGAAGTGTTGGTCGGAGAGTGCAGGAGGCGAGTGCCCCTAGCACTGCTGATGATGAAAATCTAATATGCAAAGACAATCATGAGTGAAGTTATTGTAACACCCCAATGTAAAGAGTAGAAGAATATTTTTTAGTGACACCAACATTTCAAGGCATGACAAAAACGTCATACCACAACCTGAACTGATTCAAGAAAGTATGGCAGCCCGGAAATAATTACCTTGACTTCGGAAGCATGATTCAGCAGTTGTTGATGTTCCTCTTTCAGTTTGCTGTAGCGTTCAATAACAGATTTCATGCTGATGAAAAGAAGTCAAAACATCAGTTTCTGATTTCCTATGTTAGACACAAAAAACCACAGAAATTAGGCAATGAGCAGGGCGTTATATAAATAGGCCTTTTGTTTTGCGATCCAAATTGTATTACACTTGCAAAATAGGAGACTAGAATAGGAAAAAACCTTCCATATCAAGGGATTTTGGGAAAATTGTAACTTAAGGTTTCTGTTTTGCAATCCAAATGACAGGTTTTAGTATATAAATTTTGCATTGTTTTATCCAAAAAAAAATTAAAAGTTTATATTAGTAATTATTTATTTATTTATGGAAATATTATCAGTTTTAGTAACAACTACTAATATTATTTTATGGGATTTACAACAGAAATAATTGCAAATAAAGAAAACGGTTCTATTACTGTTATTAACTCAATAATAACTTGTAGAGATTTAATTATATACAACTTTTACCTACATCATGTATACATAATTTTGACTATGAATTTCTCCACAATGAATTGTTGATATTTATTATGACATTTAGATAAAAAGATAATTATCTTTAAAAAATAAGATAAAAAGTAGATAAATTTTAATCATTTTCATAGTTGAGAGATGAATGGTTAAAATTCAATAAACGGTCAAGATTTTGTACAAGTGAGGTGATTAGGAGGCATTTGTAAG